ACACCCACATCCACACCTACACCCACACCCACACCTACACCCACACCCGTATTTCATCAATGTGATGTTCCTTTTGATCCTAATCTAGGTGTGGGTGTGAATGCGGGTGTCGGTGTCTTACTTCATCCACACCCACACCCACTCACACCGCACACCCACTCACACCATCCACCCACACCCGCACCCACACATATCCACACACACGCACACCCACGCACACCCACGCACATCCACACCACACCCACACCCACACACATCCACACACACGCACACCCACACACACCCCGGGATCCGGACATTTGCTCGCCGGACAGTTGCGCGCGGACGGTTGCTCGCCGGACATTTGCTCGCTAGGACAGTTGCTCGCCGGACAATTGCTCGCCGGACACTTGCTCGCGAATCACACGGCCACTCAATGGCATCAAGTAGCAGCCTCCTCCATCGGATTGACTTTTAAAAACGTCATAAGTTCACCACCATGTACATCAACTTTAGTGTTTATCTTCCATAGCTGGTTCGATTTGGTGCATATTTTGGTCATAAAGTGTGTGACACATACGCTCTGAATCGATAGTACAGAGGAATCGCCCAAACTATCCTGTCTACAGGAGGTCTTGTTGGATTCCAAAATTTGACTCCATGACGGACTATGATTAAAGGTGATGTGGACAATTGAAGAAGGGTGAAGAGAGGACTTCCACTCAATTACCCTCATCTTTACCTATATGAAATATCGTGCACATCCAAGCGAATAAAACGAGTTTTTGAAGTAACGACTACAATGCGAAATTATCATACAGACTTCGAAAATTGCTTAAAATACATCAGAGTCTGTTACCTATACGGAAATTTTCCAGCTTTCACCTATTTTTATTTTGCATCGCTCTTTTTAAAGATTATTTTCGTGGTTTATTCATACATCCACATCAAAGCAGTTTTGCGAGCAAGTGTCCGGCGAGCAACTGTCCTAAACCCCACACCCACACCCACCCACTCACACCCACACCCTATACCCACACCCCCCCCCCTCCCCCCCCCCCCACATCCACACCCACCCACATCCACACCCACCCCACCCATACCCTCCAGTCTCGGTCATTGGTTTATTTTTCAACATGTTTTTTGGACTAAATTGTACTACAGTGCGATATGTTTTATTTTAACATTTTGACTGATTTGAATATTAGAAGTCAAATTTATCAATGATAGAAAATATTTCATATTGTTTCATGTTTTTTTTCGAAATGAAGGTTTTTCAAACAGTCATTCTAATTTATATCACTCAGATGCTTTCTTACGGTGAAAATAAGAAATTCTTGAACAGTCGTTCGATTTCAGTGATCTTTTTAATATGATGCTAATCATACTTCGTACATAGATTCTAACATTCTTTTAACACACAAGGCAGAAATTTTCTCATTGTCATTGTGGTGCACATTAAAATTGTATGAATCTCACATGTGGACAAACACAATTTGAATATTAGTTTTTTATGAATCTTGGATATCAATGGAAGATGTCTTTTTATTATACATATATATTCCAAATGAGTTTAATATAAATCAAAAAACACATTAACAAGCTTATGAGTGATGATAAATTCATTCTGTCAGTCTTACTTAGATACGGTCGCGATTATATTTCATACACTGAAAAATGTGAATATAGTAGTACTTGTCTAATACTATTTCACAATAAAATGCAACTTTTATTATCACATATGGCATCAGCATTCAGAAATAAAACTATGTTCATTCAAATAATAACTGTTCTATCGAAATAGCAAAAAAACCAAAGGGTAATTTTATTTTAAAAATTGATTTGAATTAGAATTGAAACTGTGTAGCAGTATGTGACACGAGTAAAGTTCATAACTGCAAGTAGACAATTTTTAAAATATTGTAATAGCAAATCAATAAAAGCTTGCACGGGTTTCATTCTTAAATATATAGATAAATATTTTTCTGAGTATAATGAATATTTTGTTTATATAAAAGGAATTTTCTGTCTTTCTAACGACCACTTTTAAACCATGTAAGTATCGATGGAAAGAACACTATAAAAAATGCAAAAGATATGAAAATAATGACATTATAAATGTAACTAATATCATGATAAATATGAATCATATGTAATTAATAAAAACCTAAAATAATTTATTGTAATACACTGTAAAAATTAACTGAATAATTGTAATCACATAGTAATTCATTTTCAAGTAAGATTTCTTTTTCTTTGTACTGTCCTTTCCATCAACGGTTAAATATTTGAAAATTGTGATTAGAAAGATCAAAAATTTCTTTTATATTAACAAAATATTTATTATACTCAGAAAAAACTTATGTCTCAATACATATGGACGTAAAAATCTCAAAATATCTATCTATTTTAGTCCTTTCATAGAATTCAGAATAGGTACTTCAATACTCAATTATATTCGAACTATTGGGTTGGTAAGAAATTTTTGTCGTTTTTTTCGTAACTTCGTAGAACAGTCAAGAAAGTTCTAGAAGTTTCCATGCTAAGAGTATATAATGGGAGTGTAAATATCTTTCGAACAACAATAAAACTATGGATATACAGGGTGTCTCAGAAGTAAGGGAACAAGAAGGGTATCCGCTAAAATTGAACGAAAAATTGTTTATGATAGTTTGCGCACTTTTTATTGATGTAGAGAGCTGAAATTTTTATCACACCTGTATCTAGCCAAGATCTTTTATTTCTGAAAATTTCAGCTCTCTACATCAATAAAAAGTGCGCAAACTATCATAAACAATTTTTCATTCAATTTTAGCGGATACCCTTCTTGTTCCCTTATTTCTGGGACACCCTGTATATCCATAGTTTTATTGTTGTTCAAAAGATATTTACACTCCCTTTATATACCCTTAATATGGAAACTTCTAGAACTTTCTTGACTGTTCTACGAAGTTACGAAAAAAACGACAAAAATTTCTTACCAACCCAATACTATTATTTTACTTGTACAACTCGTGAATAATGAACAGTATATTGGGGGAGCAAGCAGAAACTGTTGTTCTTTTGTTGCTTGTAACAATATTGAATTTATTCTTCATTTTCTTTTGCTCACATTATCAGAGAGCAAGTCTTATGCAAAATAAAAAAAAAATAAAACTGACTATTGTCTTTATTTGTTTCGAGATAATGAAAGACAAATAAAAACTGAATGAGATAAAATATCCAACGCACTGACTTTCAAGTGACTATTAACTATATAGATGATAAGCAAACAAAAGTTGGAAAGAATAACCATAAAATAAATGATATTGCTGGTTTTTTTCTCTATCTTTTGTTACTGACAACGATACTCTTGATTACACCCAGGTGAAGTTTGACCTCGAGTTTCAAAGAGTGTGGATGTGGGTGTAGCTTATTCTTCTTCAATCACTCACACCCGCACGCACAACTACACATCCCTACCCCAAACACTCACACCGCCCACACCCTGCATCATAGGCGGCGGAACCTAGAGGCTGTGTGAGGCATGAGCCTTACTCAAATTTGGCGTCTGTAGGCTCAGCCTCACCCAAATTATGAATTCGATATTTTTTTGCACGATAGTGTAGATTTATCTTATCAGTTGAATATTATTTCAGTTCGAAGAATTGAACTTCTAACACGTTTATTTATATGTTGTGATAAAGAACACTATGAAATTGAGACAATAACAAACTCACTAACTACGTTCTTATGATTTACAGTGACACCTTCGATCTCATTTACGTTAAGTGGTATGTGTACTAGGCCAACTGTAGAATTATGCGTTCAAAAGACATCAAAACTAGCTATATTTGAGCGTCCTGTCATTCTTTTTAACGTATTCAGTGAAATGTATCCACAGTAATTGTTAAAAATGTCAGAAATATACCAACTAAAATACAGTGTCACACGAGTTTATTTGCATACGTATCTGAATGTGTAGCTCTCTTATTTTTGAATGCCTTGGCATTATCATTTAACTAGTGCGTTAGAAGATTATTATATTAGTTTTGTTAACCAAAGTGTGATTTCATGTTTACATGAAAATCAAACAGATAAACAATACTTTCTTTTGATCATAGTTATAAAATCAATAATTTAGATTATAAATTGTAAGGGTATGAAAATGATGTGCAGATTGATTTTGGAATATTTTGCTAAAAATAAAAGATGCAACAACATCTGTATATATAGAAGAAATTGCTTTAACTGATTTAACTGATCTTTCAACAAGTTCTCGAGACGAAGCTCGTGAAGCATCTTCTGTACCTCAAACTACTCCTCTTGTTAATCCATTTAATAGTGTCCATATTTATATCGTCAAACAAAAAAGACAAGCTTTTTCTGGTTTAATTTTTTAATATGAAATACATAGTTCTTGTATTTTTTGGAATTTTCGTTCTTCTATAAAGATTTAGAAACTCTACCAGTAAAGAACAGAATAAGTTAGCCCAATAACTTTCTGACAGTAAAACAATTAAATAGTCTGAAACGATTTATCATCTAAAATTCGCTCAGATTACCTCATGTTGATATGTGATATATCATATTAGGATAGCAAATAAACTTCCATTGAGCCTCACCCAATTTCAAAACATTCCGCCGCCTCTGCTCTACGTTGTTACTCTTCTCCAACATAAGATCGCACTCGCCTGCAAATTTACGACGATAACATCCTCGGTCTCTATCCTTGCGTTGTTCTTCTTGTTATCATTTTATTTACTGGTTCGGAGTTTCTTCTTATCTTGCATTGTAAACCTCGTTTCATAAGGACAACAAAAATCCATGTACAAAAGCAAACAATAGTTGATTTTCTCAAGATAAACTAGGCGGGGTTTATCTTCAATAATAAAAAAATACCCACATTGGACGTCGCAGAGATATTTAGAAAGAATAACAGCGAACACCAAATATATAAATAGAAAAGGTAATCTTTATAGAGACCACGATCTAGTATTCACGATATTCAATCATCAATCCAACGCCTAGTTATATTACATATGGGTGGAAAAAACTCCAAAGCAGCTATTGCCCATTCAACAACAGGTGCTACTGCAAGTACAGCAGCTTCATCGACAGCCATGCTGCGAAGAGAGCCCATGGCTGAAAATTATTTGGTCATCTGGGTCGATGGAAATATCGACATGGCAAATGAAGATTGCAAAAATACAATGGAACAATTACGTGCTGTCGTCAATCAAGTCAATACGTGTAAGACAGCTGAACAATGTATACAACAGCTTATGGACAATCAAGAGGAGATCTCATTTGTTATCTCCTCAGGTGCACTTGGACAACATTTAATACCAGACATTCATGATATGGCAAAATTAAATGGCATCTTTATATTTTGTGGCAATAAGCAACGGCATCAAGTATGGGCCCAAAATTGGGCTAAAATCAAAGGTGTTCACACGTCCATCAAAAATATTTGTGAAAAATTGGCAACAGCAATCAAACAATGCAATCAAGATCACATGTCGGTAAGCATTGTTAGTGTGAATGCTGGAGGTTCTAGCAAGAATCTAGATCAGCTAGAACCTTCTTTTATGTATTCGCAAATATTCAAGGAAATACTCCTTGAAATCAAACATGATCAACAAGCCGTCCAAGATTTGGTCACGTACTGCCAAGAACAATATCAAGGCAATAAGAATGAAATCAAAATTATCAAAGAATTTCAACGTACTTATCAAGCATCCAACGCCATTTGGTGGTATACACGCCAATGTTTCACCTACAAAATGCTTAACGGCGCGTTAAGAACACTTAATGGCGACATTATGATTCGAATGGGTTTTTTCCTGTGTGATGTACATCGCCAAATCGAAACCTGGCACAAGAATCAGGTCAGTCAATACCATAACAAGATTTTTACAATCTTTCGAGGGCAAGGCCTATCGAAAGCAGATTTTGAAAAGCTCGCAGAAAACAAAGGTGGGCTTATTTCTTTTAACAACTTTTTATCTACCAGCACAAATTCAGATGTCTCCCTCGTTTTCGCCAAAGAAGCCTTGAAAATGACTGATATGGTTGGAATTCTATTCCAAATAACCATTGATCCTAAAGTCTCATCAACTCCATTCGCCTCCAACCAGGAGGTGAGCTATTATAAGGAAGAAGAGGAACTTCTCTTCTCCATGCACACCGTCTTTCGCATTGGTGAAATGCGAAAAATTGACGACAATAGTGCACTTTATCAAGTCGATCTTAAACTTACGTCAGATGATGACCCACAGCTTCGAGAATTAACTGACTTTATACGAAAAGAGGTCAACGGCACCGGATGGCGTCGAATGGGTAAATTGTTACTCAAAATAGGTCAATTTGACAAGGCCGAAGAACTCTATATGGCACTGCTGGAACAGGCATCGAACGACAGTGATAAATTATTTATCTATAACGACCTAGGATGGGTGAAAAACAACCAAGGACAATACAACGAAGCAGTTTCACTTTACGAAAAAGCTTTTGAAATCAAGCGAAATACTCTCCCCGACGATCATCCTTCATTAGCTCCTACGTACAATAATATTGCTCTAGTGTATAAGAACATGGGTGACCACTCAAAAGCACTTGAATTTTACGAAAAATCACATAAAATTAAAGAAAAAGCTCTGCCTTCGAATCATCCTTCATTGGCTACTTCGTACAGCAACATCGGTCAAGTATATAACAACATGGGTGACTACTCGAAAGCACTTGAATTATACGAAAAATCACTTGAAATAAGAGAAAAAGCTCTGCCTTCGAACCATCCCTCTTTGGCTGTTTCCTATCATAACTTCGGTTCGGTACATAAAAAAATGAAAAAATACTCAACGGCAAGTCAATTTTATCAACATGCTGTTGAAATTGCACAACTTTCACTACCCTCGAATCATCCACACTTACAGTTGTATAAACAGTGTCTTAACAATGTAAAAAAGAAAATGTAATTTGTTTGTTTGTTTTCGATTTGCTTAATAAATTTTTTTGAATTACAATTCACTTCGCTTTTTCGACTTTTCTCGGCTGATTCTCGCGTACGCGCGACCAGGGAGACTTCCTGTAAGCCCGATATGGGCACACGCAGAGCGAACCACGCCGGACTGGTTGGGCATGATCGTAGGTATATCGTACAATAACGACGACAGGGACCTACGAACAGACGGCCTTCCCGAGTACTACATTGCTTTCGCCATAACAGGCACAAGAAATCTCCCTGGGCTAGGTTACGAAGCCACCTAACAGGCTGTGATATAAAATAGTATCTATCCCTCTCTACATTATAACATAAGTATGAAAAAAAAAACATTATTCCATTCGACATAGATTATATCTAACTTATTTATAAATTTTTTATCCCAATACGAAAAAAAAACTAAACTCAATACTTTTCATTATTCCTGTTTTTAAGAGAAAAAAAAAGAAACAACATACCCTATTTAAGATTGGAATATATATATAATATGTAAGTGTATAAATATCATAATTATGTACATAATTGTATCGTGCACCTCCTGAAAAAAAAAACAATTTATTAGAATACTTATTCAATCTATTGTTGATACAATAGATCGATTGAATTGAATGATTTTATACAAGAAAATCATTCTTTATATAGGATGTTTGAAAAACATGAACTGTCACTCAATGATAATGATTAATAGATAATTGATTCTGATCATTAGTTCAATCATTGATGAGAGAATCATTTTCATCGACGATCAATTTATCGCCAGTCGACGATGTCTCTTTCATTTCTTTTATAATTTTCTGTAAAAAGTTGTGAATGAATATGTACTTATTCTATTTACATCACACTCACAGCCGTAACTCAGTGACTAAAAAAAAATCAAAAACAATTCATTTCAATGGTTATTGTTTGAATTTACATGTACAAAATTTCATACTTTTAGTTATTTCAGATAACATTTAAAAAAACTCTATTATTTACATTACTTTCATTAGTTCTGTACGATTTGACTCTCATGATTTGGAGTATTTCGTGAAAGAAAAATTATTCATTTACTTGAATTACTTTTACATTTGAAATATGCAATTTCAATTGATGTCTTTTGTGCGAAATACATCGTGTGTTATGATTGTTCTTAAAAGTTTAATCCTGAAACGAATAAATTTGAATCCTTTTTACAGAATTCAAGGTCTTTCTTTTTCATCCTTCTCATCATGTTATTTTCATGAATTAAGAGCTCGATTTTCATCAATGAATTTCAAACAACATTAAAGAATACGTATGGTTTATTCATCACAAATGGCTTTTTTTTGTCATTTTATAAGTCACACCCTCAAGATCAACAATTATGTGAACACGTTCCACCATCCCAAAGAGTTAGTTTAATTTGTAAAAAACAATCTAGATATTGTATATCTGATGTTAAATCGCGTTACAAGACATGTACATGTTTGCGTTTTTAATGAAGCTCTTCATCAATTAATTACTAAACGAGCTTTATTGTAAGATATTTTCGAACATATATTTGTTTTCATACATGAATTCTTTTCGAAAATATCACTTGATTGATAATAATAGTCTTTATGATAAAGATATTGATGTTGGATTTATAGTTACTATTTGTAATGATTTATCAGGTATAGATGATAGTTCCAAAGAAATAAAGATTACTGTTATTCATTATTTTACTTTTTTCTTACTGGTTACTCTAATTTTAAGGACTGATATTCAGAGTTTTTAGAACATATTTATTTTAAATAAGAATCTTCAACTCGTATTACTAAATTGTTGATGTTGCACTATCATCACTTGATGATGAGACATATTTAGGGATTTTTTTCAATGGGTCAACGATAAAAGTTTTGCTCCGAAATAATTCGAAAGAAAATCTAATCAAGAGAGAAATCTAGAAAATAAAAAAAAGACTTAGAAATTATTCATAATAGTATGATTCTTCGTTTCTGTATCAATTTTTGATGAAATGATGAATTAACCATCGTCAAATAAATATTCTTTTTGGTTCTTACTCACATTGATATATCATTATTGTAAATTTAGCTTATCTAGTTTTGTCTCTACATATTTATTACACATTGTAATATAACTATATCTCTTATGTTCTGCTCAGAGACATTTCTAAAGTAAAATCGATATCAAAATAACTCTTAAAACGATGAAAAATTAATGTTGCATTTTCAATGTGACGAATTTCGTGTATCCATGTTTCGTGCACACAAATTTTATTTTGTTTTCGTGTCTGACAAAGATGTTATAGTTGTTGTTGTCATTGATCTTTGTATTTGTCTTTCTTGTTATCATTCGCATCTCTATAGATATGCTACTAGTAGCGACTTCATAAAAAGATTTGTTTACATTCTATAAAGAATTCTTGTAATGCGGAAAGCACAAGCTATGCTGATAACTTGTTTTCTATTCTTTACGAAACTACTCATTAAAACTCGGTACTGTAGCGGAAAATTCACGAGAAGCTTTTTACTGGTTAACAAAAAATAAAAAAATACAACTTCATCCAGAAAACAATAAAGAACATATACACATTAAACCATTTTTTTGTGATTACGATTTCTTAAATTATTTTTTCGTTACATAAAGGACAAACCAGAAATCTTGATTCGACTTGAATATTAAAATTTTCTTTGTGAAATAAATACTTGTAAAATTTGTCTTTATGATGAAAAGATACAGTAAAACACAATCTACAATATGATTTTTTATTCACTTCACTATTTCATGTAGTGAGAATTGAAATGAGAATGCAACGTAACTCGTTCGTAAAGTCTCAGAGGACAAATTCTTTGTGTAAAATTGAAGATATATCTTGTTAAGATTCTTTTTTTGAATTACAAATTAATAAACTATCTGATAAGATCCTCAAGCAAGGTCGAGCTTAGTTATGGTAACTTCTTCACTTCCATTAAAAAGCCACATTTTTTCTTTATTGTTAGAAAGTTTTACTTCAACAAATTCTTTTTAAACTTTCAGTAAAAAAGATAAAACATTCAATGAAACAAAAATAAATCAAAGTATTTATAAAATCTTCTTTTCAATTCACATATACAACATGACAGAATAATGAAAAAGAAAAAAAATTACAGAAACTAATAAGACACTACTGTCAACTATACTTTCTTAAAGATGATTGAAACTTTCATTTATTTTGTATCATGATATGACCATTGCTTATACAATTGTGATTTCTATGATTATATAATGATCTAAGTCTTTTTGAATTTATAACATTTATTTTCCACATAGTTATTTCTCAACAGGTACTTTGTAGAAAATCTTGATCAACTGACAAATAAATATATTGAAATTAGATTCAAATAGCATCCTCACATTTCAAGATTCGGGTATTTTTATTATTTTAAAGAGATACATATATATTAGCAGTTATTTGAATGTTAAGTTAATAGAGAAGCACAGTCATCAAGTCGAATTACCAAATCAGTTTTACATCTTATTTTTCGCGTAATTATTTATGAATGATATCAATTTATTATTTAAAGTTTAAATTGAAAAAAAAAGAACATGATTTTATTTTATTATTATTGTTTATGAGCACAAGCCAGAAAATTTGGTTGATTATAATAAAAGTCGATTGTTTTATCAGTACATGCTCCTCCTCCAGTTGAACCAACATGTGGACAATGTATAGATGGTAATAAAGGTACAAAATATGTATGAATAAAACGGTAAATAACATTTTCTTGATCTCCTCTTGGGTGTAAGTGTGGGCATGAGTGCTCCTTTGTAACTAGCACCCAGACACCCACACCCCAGCTGATTTTTTTTCTTAGGATAGACCACAGATTGAAGTTTTTATTCATGTTGAAACAGTCCATACATATTAAATTAGCAAACTGTTCTTTTTTTCTTATATTTATTTGTTAATAAATGTCAAATATAAAGTAATCAAAAAAAAAAGAAAAAGTCAATATTCTTCAATTTTTTGTCGATCTTTTTCAATTTGTAAAACTTTTTTTGTTAAACAATTTGAATTTGAATCATCGGAAAATGTTCCTTAAATAGAATTATTTGTTAATTGACCAAAAAAATAGATTTTTTTCATTTCTATTAATAAGAATATTATCTTGATTCTCATTTGAATTATTTATTTTTGATATTGTTGAAATAGTTGTTAAAAATTTACTATCTTCAGTTCGAGTTCGAGTCGTTCGTACTGTATTATTTGCATCTAGAATTTATTTATTTAAAAAAAAAAGAAAAAAATTTCAATATGATTCATATGATTTCAATTCTATTAGATTTAATAAATTTTATAAATAATATTATTATTTTATTAATTTATTTAATATGTTAATTACTTGTTTATTTGAATAGGTTTATTTCAAATATTTACATAATATGAGAGAAAAAAAATATTTGAATAAATAAATAAATTTTATATTATTATATGTCAATATGATGTTGAATAATATATTCAATTAAGTTAAATAAAATTGGTCGAAATATAAAAATGGTTCTTATGTATTTATTTAATTGTAGACAAATATTCTTATTTTTTTTATATTATATAAAAGAGAAGAGTCTAATAAATCAATTCTATTTCGATTAATTCAACTCAGATTTTATTTATTTGACTAGAGTTTTTTAATGAAAATTTTTCAAATCTAATCAAAGATTTAATTCCAACGCAGATTTTATTAAAAAGAACAATTCTATATTGAAAATTCAATAGAGAATTCGACTTCTGTTTTTTTTCTTTTTGGTTTTTAATGAATTATCTTGTTAAGAATCGATATATCGTCTTTATTTTAATTCATTGTCGATTAAATAACTTGTATATATATATTTGTTATTGTTGAATATAATAATTAATATATAGTTATCATGATCAATATTTATTAGAAATAATATTAAATAAATACTTATTTATACAATTGACAATAAATAATTCTTAAGAAATAAATCTTGATGATATTATTTAATCAATAATAAAAGAAAAGAACAAAAGGTTACCTACTTGAATCGATGATGATAAAACATTCGATGTTGAATTTGTTTGAATTTTATTTGATGAATAATTAATTGAAGATATATTTACGTTAACATGTCCTGATTTAATATTTTCAAATGTATTGTTACTATAAGGAAGATCAATTAATTGATTTTCTTTTAAATTTTTATCTAGATTCGAAATGTTAGGAAATATTTCTTTATAAAAACTAGTTATATCCCCAATTATATATCCTTTGATGGTGTTAAACATGAATTGTTATCTTGAAGAAAAAAAAAGAATAAATATCTTTAATTGAATATAAATCTCATTTTCAACAAAATCATATTTGTTAATTGAACGAATAAAAACACTTCGAACTGTTTTTAATTTCGAATTAGGCATTGATTTATATACTTGAATTAATCGTGAACGAAATAATAATTGAGTATAATTTTCAAATAAATTCCAAATGATTTTTTCAAATTTATTTGATTGAGATCCATATAAACGATAACAAATAAGATCAAGATGAGATAAGACATATTCATACAATCTCCGATAAAACATTGTGCATGGACTTAATTTAATATGATTATTTTCAACAATTCCATCTGATTTACTTCGATTTATTGTCAATTTATTCTAAACAATAACATCGTCTCTTTTTTTTTCTTTTTATCCTATTAATTCCTATGATTTATTTTCATTATGAAAGTTAATTCAAATGATAAATTAAAAAATTTTTGTTTTCTAAAATTCTATTCAACTTTTTAGAAAAAAAATGCTTTTTTTTTAAACGAAATATTTCAAGAATTTGAATTGATATTATATTAATAAAGATTTATTTTAATTAGTTAACTAAGACAAATAAAATGTCTTTGGTTTATTCTATAATAATATTTGTTTGGATAGAAATAAAAAACTTCGACAAGATATTTTCCTTCGTTTTTTTTGTTAATTCGATTTTGAAAATTTTTGAGAAAAAAAATATTCATTGAATATTGATAAAATCAATTAAACGAATTCAATATCAGAAGATAATATTATTTATTGAAAATTTTCATTCAAAACAAAAACTTTTTCAAAAAATCGATTTTAATCAAATTCAATCAACTTTTTTCTTTCTTAAATTAAATTCCAAGAGGTTCTACGTCTAAAAATAAAGATCTACATCATAGGGAATTATCGTCATTTTTCTCTAATATCCTCTATAAAAAGTATGCTCTAGAAAGAAAAACAAATGTTCGCTGTAGACAGGCTTTAAAATGGTTATTATTTATCGAAATATTTTCATTGTTTGACAAGCTTTTAGAAAAGATCGACGACAATTATCATATTTCATAGAATTTCAGATGAGTTTATTTTCATCGAACTCGATTATGAAAAAGAAATAAATTCTTTTTAAATCAATGATATATATTATCAAATGTTTTCTCATTGTTTTTTTTCATGATAAATATAGAAAAAAAGAAAAATAAAGTATTCTAAGGGGTCAATTTTTCTTGTTACTAGATCGGACTAAATATTTTATGGTTTTTAAATATTTATGAACAAAATTCTTTCAAAATAAAAATTTTTTTTTCAATTAAAATAAATCATATTCATTTGTTATAATTATTTGAAATTAGTGAAAAAAGATATAAATATATATGTATAATATTGTATTAAATAAATCAAATAATAAATCTTATTGTTAATTGATCTGTTGTATTCGATTGAAATAATTTTCTTGATACATTTGTTTTATTTGATGATTGAATAAAAATTGGAGTTAAATTATTTATTGGTGATAAGGAATTATTTATATTTGATTGAATTGATGATATTGTTTTATATGATAAAATACCTTTTAATTCAATATCATTCCATAATGAGGATTTTGTTGAAAAAGTTATTGATGATAAATATTTAATAAATGATTTTGATTTACTTATTTGTGTACAAGTTTTAAAAAAACAATTTGTATGATTTTTAAAAAGGAATACTCATCTAATGAATAAACATGTAATATCCAATTAAAATCATGATATTTATCCGAATGAGCATATAATACTAATAATTATTTAATATTAATTTACTAAAATAAATCTATTTATTTATTTATTTATTTATTCATTTAAAAGAAAAATCGTTTATTGAAATGATTGTTGAATTTGTTGTGAATTAAATTCATTTGAAAGTAATCTGTTTTTTTTTCTCCAATAGTTAAGATATTTTCAATAGAATAATAAAATAATTTTAATGACAAATCAAAACGTGATTTATATGATCGAGATGGATTTTCTTTTCGATTTATTTTATTAACATTTTCTATTAAATCATATTGACTATTAAATGAACATTCACATTCATTTAAACGTTCAACAAGATCATCTAAATTTTTAATAAACAAATTTTATTTTATTCTTTTTATCAAATCGAACATTATTTCTCTAACTGACACATTTTTAAATAATATATTATATTAATTAATTAAATAACTCTAATTTTCATTTTATTCTCATGAAAAAATTAATTTAATTATCTCTATTATCTTTATTTTAATTAAAATAAAATTCGTTTTTATATATCTAACTGATTATTATTAAAAAATGTTCGATAAAATAAAATCGTATATATATATATATCGAATATTATTTTAATCGAGAGAAAATATTTATTTTATTCAACGATGTGTTTCATAAAAAAAGAAAACAAAAAATAATCTTAAAAAAGTCAAAATTTAAGTTCTTTTTTTAAAAGTCTTTAGATAAAATTTTAAATCTTATATATCATTCAACGATCATTTTAAATAAATGTCAATATCATACAGATATTTAATTCAATATATTCTCGTTTAACGAGAAAACATCTTTAACCAGAAACAAAAATTCCTTTCTTAATTTAATTATTTTTCTTTATCAAAAAAGTATACTTAAAAAAACAAGAATGTCTGATATAAATATAAATAAATATTTATTTGTTTAAGTTAATAAAAAAAAAGATAGTGATGATAATTGTCTCTGTCTAAAATATAAATTTGAGAATATTTTTTATTAGTTGAAATAATAAAAATCTAAAATTGATTAATTGAATTATCTTTTAACGAGTTCATTTATTTATCTCTGATTATCGATCGTCACGAAAATTATCTATCGGATTTATCTCTCGATTTCTAATAGAATTTTTTTTGTCTTGTAAGTCTCTTGTTCATTTTAATGCAAACTATTTATTTGATTTACATCTAATTCCAATCTATAATATCAATTCTATATCGATCAATTCTCAACACACAATTATTATTAAAATATAGTTCAAATCTGATTGTTAATCAGGTTGATTGTCTCTTTCCTATACAAATCAATATGAGTAAAACAAATCTGACGGTTCTCTTATCATAGATTCTAACGTAATATTTAGCTAAGTACTGTTCTCTGTCTATTACCGAAAGTAAACTAATCATAGTTGACTTCTAGCTAGTCGCTGCTACACTGATCAAAAAAGGTGACATTGACAAATTGAAATAGGTTTCGAATTAGTTTCAATTGTCGAAAAGCTTTTTATTTTCAATGCATGAACGAGGAAAAACGCAAAAGATAAAGTTAAAAGTTCAATTAAGAAAATCTTATGATGAAAAAACATGATGAAGGCTTGAGAAAGAAAAACAAATTTATTTTATGTTTGATTTGATAAAAAAAGAAAAAAAAAAAAATTTAGTCTAAAAAAGTTTGTTGTTGTTGAACAATTGAATATAATAATTTAATTAATTGATTAGCTTGCTAATATGAATGTTAAATATTGATTAAAAGAAATTGTTTGATAATCATTCGATGTAATATGTTGATTTGCTGTTAATGATGTTAGATTTTGAATATCGATTTTCATTTAATGAATTACATAAGTCATTTAATTGAAATTTATTTTCTAAAAAAGTTCTTTCATCAATTATACAATTTGTTAAAACAATTTCATCATATTGACGATTTATATCACGAATT